ACTCTCTTTAAATATAAAATTATTAAAAACATTTGATACACTCTTTATTTCTCTCTTCAAAAATATCAAAAGTATCAACTATTTGATACCCTCTCTCCAAAAATATCAACTATCTCTTCTCTTTACTCAAATTTTATTAATTTTATATTTTAATATACCCCACTATTTCAACCAAAAACACTCTCTTTCTTTCTTTAACTCAAATTTTAATAATTTTATATTTAATGATACCTACATTGTATCACCAATATTCATGCTCTAATACTAATTATACATAAAGGGTTTAATGATCAATATAGAAAAATAATATATCACATCATAGATAGAAAGAAGATTCTCGCAAGTAAGCATATGGTTCTTTGGATCTTTGCTAGAGAACCAAAGATGATATGGACATGTTATCTTCTTATATAATCTATTTCAGACGTATAATGCATGTTTTTATATATTATGTACTAGTGTATATATTTAGCTAATTATTTTTATATTTTTGGCTTTACATATTTTGGGGTTTTTTGTTTTAAACTTGACCAATCAAAATCATAGAATTCCATACTTTTGATTATAGATATGCAGATGCCAATTATATTAGAACAAACTAATGTAAAGCTGTTTTTTTATATATATATAAAAACTGTATAGTTATTTGTTGTATTTTGGGATATAAGGGAAATACTATATATAGCTATATGTTTGATAATTAAAATAAAGAACTATAGATATGCAGCTAAACTTATCATTGAATGAATATTTAAAGGCTTTAGTAATTCAATGAAGATATTTTCTTTCTTTTCGGGTCAGAAATGAAGACATTTTCTTCAAAAAAGACACAAAAAATGAAGATATTTTCTTAGAAAAAATATAGAAATTATCTTACCGATTACAGTGAGAAGAGTTAAAGGCAACTCCGGTTTGGCAGATTCCTTTCCATGATTCTGGAACTGGTCCCATTCCTTTGTCACTGAAACTTTTTGATTCTGGCCACACCCCTTTAATTTATTTCCCAAAAAAAAATCAAAACAAATAAGTGTTATTCTGACAATTATATAGCAACAAATTAGCAATAATGGATTAATATATATTGTAAGATACTGTATGAAACCAAACGATTTTTCTTATAAAAGGATTACAAAATTTCATTGAATCCTGACTTTCTTTATCATAACGCAACTCTTTGAATCAAGTCATGTAATAATTCAACTATCAACATTGGAGTTAGGTCCATTTAAGTTTGGTATACGTTTTCATCAAAAAGAAACAGTGATCAGTCTCTGATTTCAGTCAATAGTATTTTTTAAATATTGAAAACTAATCTTATGGCTACTATATCGGCGCTATTATATATAAATGTGTGTGCATATTATAAAAACAATGTATGTGCATGAGGAAACAGGGGACAAAGGATAATACTGTAAAAAGTAGCATGTTATATAGAAAAATGGTACGCATTTTTTTGCAAATAATAAAAAATCATGATCATTCACAAAATTAATAAAATTTCATGGTTCTTTAGTATGAAGTATGAACAAACTAAATAAATCGTCTAATTTACAAAAAATAGAGAAAAATGACTAACAGAAAACAATAATATCCTAAATAATTAGTAGAGACAGGTTAATTTACCACTGTCGAGAACACCGACGATTATTCCATCTCCATGCTTTGCCTTCTTCAAAAACTTTCTTCCGACACGAAACCGATCATCCACGTCGTGTTTTTGAATATCACCGTCGGTTTCCTCCTCCTCTAATCCTACAAATTCCCATGACCGTGTGGTATGCGTTTCATATTTTCTTGGATGGCTCTTGATTACCGAAACAACCTCTTCCAATTCTTAAAAAACAAAAAAAAAGATCAACAAATTTTTGATTTGGTTAATATATACCCCTTTTCAATGAAAACAAAATATTAATTGGGTTTTGTTCAAAATTTGGTTTGTTTTTCTTTACTTACTCTCTAGTCTAGAGGCTTCATTCGGGGTTAGCTCAGCCGCGAAGCCATTGATGCTATGTTTGTAGCTATACAATAGCGATGATTTGGCGTCTTCTTCGGATTCTTTAACCGATTGAAGATAAGAATGATGATTTTCTTCAATTTCGTGTAAGGCTTTATCACCTTTATGTTCTCCAAAATAGACTATGTACACCTACAAAAACACCAAAACATTAATGAAAATGTGAGGAATTGACTAAGAAACGATACAATATGGGATTTTGAACCTCCTATGGTAACAAATCAATGCACATATGTAATTGATAATCAGTGCAAATTAAAGTGTAG